TATTAGATTTGTTTCCTCCATAAGAAGCAGCTTTTCTAGAGTAAAACTAATTTTTGTCCTTGCATTCTTAAAATGAGTGGCATATAGACTCCCAAATAAATGCCTGTTGAATGAATTCCTCAACCACAGTACATATGTATGTGTATATATTTACTCCATTGGTCAATAGTATCGGATTTCTACATTTAAAAATTTTATTTATTTAAATTTCCTTTTAGAGGGACATCATTTAGGAAAAGAAGTTTTTACGGTTTCCTTAAATAACCATTGTGTCATAAAGAAATACGTTGTAATGTGTGTCACACATTTTCTCTGCACTCTACATTGGTTATCTCTGTTTAATCTTCCAGCAACTCGGTGAAGCAGGCACTGTTTTTATCCTCACCATTTCAGAAATGAGGAAAACGAACTCAGAAATTAAGCAACTTGTTCAAGTCACACAACTGTTAAACTATTCTGGAGTCTTGCTCCAAAATCTTTTAACATTTGTTGTTGTTGTTGTTTCAGTGTTTACATTGCATACAGATCACACATTTCATAACTAGCTATGCGCTTAAAGAAGCGCATAGCTAGTTATGAAATGTGTGATCTGTATGACTGTGTAATCTTATGTGTAAGACTTTTGAGGTTCATCCATATTGTACCATGTATTGTTGTTTGCTCCTTTTTATTGCTGCATTGTATCCCATTTATTGAATATACCACACTTTGTTTATTCATTCACTAGTTTATAGACACTTGAATTGTTCCTTCTTTGAGCTGTTGTTAGTGATATTTGTGTGAACATTTGTATGTAGATGTTTGTGTTGGCATATATTTGTCTTTTTTCCTTTTGGGTAGATGCCTATGAGTGGAATTGCTGGGTCAGATAGTAAATTTAACTTTTTAAGGAATGGCCGGTATTCCAAAGTCATTCCCATCAGCCGTGTATGGGAGTGCTAATTTTTCTTCACCCTTGGCAACACTGTTACTATTTTTTTATTATCATTACAGTCAGTCAAGTGGGTATGAAGCATTATCTCGTTGTGATTTTAATTTCTATAGTGGCTTATGACGTTGAACATCTTTTCATGTGCTTTTAGCCATACATACATCTTTTTGGAAATATCTGTTCAAATCTTTTGCTCAGTTTTTAATTGAGTTGTTTGTCTCATTGTGTTGCAGTGGTTCTTTTTATAGATACAAGCCCTGTATCAGATACATGATTTGCAATGTGATATTGCAGTTTTCTCGTCAGATGTGAGAAGAAATATTTTCTCCAAGTCTGTGGCTTGTCTTTGATTTTTTTCCCCCTCCATAGTGTCTTTCGAAGCACAAAATGTTTCGTTTTTATGAAGTCTAATCATATGTTTTTTCTTTTATGGACTTTCTCTTGTGTCAAATATAAGAATTCTTCACACAAAGTTAACAAAGATTTTCTCCTGTGTTTTCTTCTATAATTTTTATAGTTATGACCCTTGTAGTTAGGGCTGTGATCTGTTTTGTGTTAATTTTCATATATGGTGTGAGCGATCCATTTTGTGTTAATTTTTGTATGTGGTGTGAGGCAGTGGCATCTGATTGTCCCAGAACCATTTGCTGAAAAGAATGTCCTTTTTGCATTGAATTTTTGGTGCCTTTTTTGAAAATCAATGGTGAGGGTTTTGTTTTCTCTCAGTTATGTTCCAGTGATCTATTTTTCTATCCTTACACCAGTGCTATAGTCTAATTACTATGGCTTTATAATACATTTTCAAATTGGGAAGTATAAATCCTCCAACTTTGTTCTTCCTTTTCAAAATTATGTTTGCTATTTGGGTCTTCAGCATTTTTATGTATATTTTAGTATCAGCATGTCCATTTCTGTAAAAAAATGTCTTTTGGGATCTTGGTAGGGATTGTGTTGAATCTATAGATGCATTTAGAAAGAATACCATGTTAATACTGAGTTTTCTAATCCAAGAACATGGAATGTGTCTGTTTATTTGGCTCTTTTAAAATTTCTCTCAGCAATGTTTTGTAGTTTTTAATAGAGAACTCTTATGCTTCTTCTGTTAAATTCATTCCTAATTATTTTTTTATTTTGAATTCTGTTGTGAATGGAATTATTTCCTTGATGTTATTTTTGAATTGTTCATTGCTAGTATATAGAAATACAGTTGGTT